GGACTTTAGACAAGGCCCTGAAGTGACAGGACAAGGGGGAATGGGTTCAGACTGACAGAGGAGAAATTTAGGTGAGATAAATGGAAGAAATTCTTGGTTGTGAGGGTGGGCAGGCCCTGGCAGAGCTGTGGCTGCCCCTGGATCCCTGGCATGCCCAAGGCCAGGTTTGGAGCAGCCTGGGATAGTGGAAGGTGTCCCTGCCATGGCAGAGGTGGCACTGGATGGACTTTAAGGTCCTTTCCTACCCAAACCATTCTGGGATTCTGTGAAAGCTGCAGCACTGAACACTAACATTATTTACAGATACTCCTGAAAACCCTTCACATACTCCCAAAAAACCTTTGAGATCTGAAATTAAAACCATGAGACCTTTATGGTAATATTTAAGCCCAAACGATGTCTGATGCTGAAAAACTCCAAGAAAGTTAATATGGGTTAAACTTGATCAAAATTAACTCTGTTTTATTAAGAGTGCCACTAACATCCACCTTTTAACTTCAATGTGATCACTGTGTGCCACCACTCCAGCCACCACCGATTTAATTTTTTAAACAGAAATTTTGTTGAGGACCCTGAACGTAAAAGACAAGGATAATCACCAGTTGTTTTTTTTTTTTTTTTTTAAATCCTTAAGAGTCATCACTTTAACTTGTGGATGAACCAACACAACAGGATCTGTGACCCAACTCAGACCTGTAATCCAACAGGATGTGTAACCAGCCCTCTCCTCCTGCTTGCTACAACTCAAGCAGGTCTGTGCTGACAGAAGAATCAGCCTGATTATGCAGCAAGAATTTCATTTGGAAATGAACTCACTCCCACCAGGAGGATTCCCACTCCCAGCTTCCTTCTGCCCATTGCTGGGGCCAGCACCTGTATCAGCCACAAGACCCAGAGTGGAAATAACCAGGGCACAGCAAAGAAAAAGCAAAGGGGTGTCAGAATAACTGAGGGGAGAAGCCCAGAAAAATTCAAGATAACATCATAATAAATGCAAACATCCCTCACTGCACAAGTATCAGGGTGTCAGAGTAACTGAGGGGAGAAGCCCAGGAAAATTCAAGATAACATCACAATAAATGCAAATATCCTCTGAACAGCAGCTCCAGCAAGAGCCAGTGTTCCCTCCTGTTCTGTTACACTGTGTACCTTTGGGATTAATTTTATGGCAGGTGCTTTTACTTCCAAATCCCAATGTCCCAGCCCTGCAAATGACCCCAGGGAGTGCATCTAGAAGAAATCCAAGTGGAAGCCATACCTTGTCCCACAAGGCACATTCTTCACTTCATCAGTCTGCAGCGTGGTCTGCAACACAAACACAGCAGCACTCACAAATGTGATTCCCAGGAAGGCCCAGACTCCCACAAAGCCAAAATTGTGTCCTGTGCCTCCTTGGTGATGGCTCCAGGTGTGGGCAGAAGGCAAAGCTTCTCCTCCCCAGCCCTTTGGGGGATGCACAGGCAGCTGTGCCTGTTTCCCTGTTTTGGAATGCCAGGAAACAGTGACAGCCACACACACAGACTGTCCCCCTGAGCAGGACACTGCCAGCCCAGCAGTGCCACACACACACACACACACACATGGTGGGTGGGGAGAGCTTCCAGGAGGCCAAGTCCTGGCTCCCCAGGGGAGGGAGAGGGCACTGACCTGCACGGATTTGAAGGTGGTGATGAAGGGGAGCATGATGTGGTAGCCAGGGCCGCTGGGGCTGGTCAGCAACGCTCCACCCCTGAGGAGAGGGAGGAAAAAGCCTCAAGGAAGGGGGCAAACAGCAAGGGCTGGCTTGGAGGGCCAGCTCAAACTGCTAGGGGTCACAGAGGATTGCATCAGTGCCCTGGATTCCCCAGCAATTCCCCAGCAAAGGGCTGAGTGCACCCAATCTCTGCCTGCTGCAACTCTGCACGAAGCTTTAACTCTTGGAGCAGGCAGCTACTGCTAAACCCTCCCAGCACTGCAACACTGCACAGAGCTGCAAGAACATGGATTTCTCCTCTAAATAGTTCGCTGGTAACCATGGAAAAATTCAGCCGTGGATGTGATGCTGCCAGTTTGGGTTTTGGCACAGCCCCTTTGCCCAGAGCACAGAGAAAACCCCCCTGGGGTGTTAATGCCCAGCAGGATTGTGGTTAGAGGGAACTGGGGACATTTGGGGTCTCTTAGTAGTCCTGGTCAACTCTTTGAAGCAAAAGCTGGCAGAGGTGTCACCCCCTCCCCAGAACAGTGCAGTCTCCCAAAGTGCTGCACATTTTGCAGAGTGCTCTTTCCTTTAGCCCTCAGTTTTTCCTCTTCTGCTCTATGGATGCTGTTGGTGTGCACATTAAATTGGCTGCTTTTTTTCAGTTCCCCCTCACTGCACAAAGTTGAAATTTGTCTTACGTAAAATACAGTTCTACACAAGCTAGCAATAAAACTGCAGCCTCTGTACTCATTTTTTTTCCTTGAGTGGCACAGTCTCTAGGTCTTTACAGATAAAGCAATCCGATAAAGGGTCTTTCCAGAATTTATTGTGCTTTATTCCATAAAGAACATTTTTACTTTCTAATTTTTTTGCGTGCCGAGTGGGAAGGGCAGGGAAAACATTCCAAGGCACCAACACTGAGAGTTCTGGCCCGGGTGACAGTTTGGGACAAAGGTGACGGCTCTTGCTGGGTGATAGTTTGGGACAAAGGTGAGAAACCAGCAGATGCCAGCAGGCAGGACAGACCCAGAGCTCTGCAATCAGTTTGTGACAAGGGCAGGGGGGAATGAGAGGCAGGAGAAGCAGCTCAGAGACCCAAGGGTGAAGGGAGCAGGAGCAGCCAGGGCTGCCCACACATGGGGAAACCGGAGGGGAGCAGAGGACAGAGCAGTGCCAGGGGCAGGGATGGGTGCCAGGGATGGATGCCAGCCCAGGAGGGGCTCCGTACCTGTAGTACACGGCCAGGTGTCCCTCCTCGACCCTGTGGATGGCGGAGT